AAATTAATCATGTCACATTGTATAAAAAGTAATACATGTTTTTTTTATTTTATTTAGAGTGTAGGACAGTCAGTGACCCTGCACAGGCTGGATATATATCAACCAGCACTTGTCCTTGGACTGGTCATCAGTATGCTGCACTAACGTCTGCTGTCATCCCAGTTCCTCCAAACTAATCTGTAACAATGCGTTTAAAGGAAAATAAACTCATCCCTGGAGAGGAAACGTTTATTAATTTGAGTCTAGTTGATTAATCGTCTGTTAACTGAAGATTTAAGCTCATTAGAGAGACAAACACCCTCAGCTTCAGCCTTAGAAACCACACGTTAACCACTTAAACCCAATGAACTTTAGGATTGAGACGTATTTTTGGGCTTCAGCTGATTGTTGTTGCTGAAACGCACGCGTGAAAACAATAAAATTACCTTTAACATGTACAAACAGGCAGGTGTTGAATTAAAGGAACAAAAAACACAATTAACAGAAACAAAAGCAAATGCTTCCACACAAGTGCACGGCTCAGTACCTCATCCAGCCAATTAACAGCAGAGGAAGCCCAATTAGTTTTGATTTAGCTGATGTTTGGTTTTCTTGCAAAATGCTGAGAGGAAATGATGGCAGTGACTGAAAGTGGTTCATTGTTGGGACGTGGATGGAAGGAGCTTCAGTCACAAGAACTGTTCAGCTCGCTGGATGAGATCAACCCCCAAGAAATACAAAAGGATAAATATAAAGTTATAATAAAGATTATGATGAAGAGAAGGAAGGCCATGTGTACAGATATGACATGATGGATAATCTACCCAAATGCAGGACACACATGTTTCACTGAATTGTACTTAATTGTATGCAGAGCAACAAGAAGCAGTGACTGAGGTCCATCTATAGGAACCACATCAGTCAACATGGTCAGCAGCTCTTCCACAGGTGACCGAGGTTCAGAGTTTTGCAGCAACTGAAGGCAGATTTGATTTGGTCAGATGAGTCACCCTGTTCCTGATTCTCAACAAGTGGCTGAGTGCGTGTGAAGCGTCCACCAAGAAACTGGTACAGGCCTGAATGTGTGACCCCTACAGCGAGGGGCTCTGGCGGCTCTTTTGTGTGCCGTGGGGGCATTTTGCTGACATTGTTTGGCTCCTCTTGTTGTTGTCACAAACTGCAAAGACGTTCTGAGTCTCCCACTTCGCTCTCATCCTGTGATGAAACACCGCCGTCCTGCTGGGAGTCGGCTCTCCTGGGATGACAATGTGATAATCTACAGGGCACGAGGTCTGATGTGAACCATGTGGTCTGAAACACTCGGTCACAGCTGAACTCCTACAGGATGTATTGAACCAACAGACAACACTCTGCCACCATTATCAAGACCCCAAAGGAGGGAATATCTTTCAGAAGAGTGGTGTTCATCCCTCAGGCTGAGCTACAGATGTTTGTAGGATGGATGCCGTATGTGGTCGTTTATTAAAACACTTCCTGTTGGTTTGTCCTTTAACTTTCACCTGTCTGTAGGTATGAATTAGTTGCAAACTGTACTTGAAGTCTTAAGTGTTATTTATTATAGTGCATTTGTGCATCAGAGCATATTTAATAAGTTCTCGAGACCATTTTTCCAGAACGAAACCCTTAAAGTACAAATACCTCAAATCTGCACTTGAGTAAATTTACCATGAAGTTGCATTCGGCTGCAGAACATAAAGAAATAAATCCTCCACAGGAAATCGTCGCTGCCGCCTCTCCAGACTGTGAGAGTAACGCGAACCCTTGTCCTTGTTTCACGACGATAGCCGAGTCCAAAGGCATCTACAGTCGGCACAGACGGAGCAGTCCTGTGGGTGTGTCGGCCCAACAATGGCAAACCGGTCTCATTAGAAGAATTCAATAGCTCATTAACGAGGGGAGCCAATCAGGACAGAGTGCCATTGTAAGCAGCAGTCTGACTTTTTAGTTCATGCATGAGAGAAAATGGTCCACAGTGGTTCCTTACAAGTGGGAAAAAACCCACATGTCCAGTCACAGCTCTTATCTGTCCAACTCGGCCGTTTGTATTCATTTGTGCTGCTGCTGCCCTTATTCAGCTCCACTCTGCCGACATGCCCTGACAGCGCCGATCTCTGCAATTAAACACGCTAAAATGTTACAGATGTCTTAACCGAACACGCTAAAGACTGTAATATGTGACCTTTAGAGAAAATGTGACGTTTGGTTTTGAACATGCAGCTCTCTGCGCTGTCGGCGGCGCCGCGAGAGCGTTTCAGCTGTCGGGTGGAAAAAAGACGCACTCCCCAGGTAGCTTAACATCTACAAGCTAGCGTGAAGACACTGACCTTCAGACAAACTAGTGAAGCTGTCAGCTTGGCTTAAAACCTGTTAAAGATGCAGGAAAGCCGACAAGGTGGCAGAAAGGGACATTTTTTTTCCGGCGAGCAAGGTGACACGATAGAGATATTTTGGAAAAGGTCACAGAAGTTACATCATTACCCCCAGAAGGCATATCGAAGAGGCGGGCGTCTACCTGCACAGAGCGGACGTTTCCTCCCTCACATCCATTCTAATGGAAAAGCCTATGTGTGTGTGAGTGTGTGTGAGTGTGTGTGCTCTGGTATCTGACACTCTCAGACAGGCAGTAGCATGGCTCAGTGAGAGAGATGGCGTGATCGCTGGACCGTGGTCTGTCTTGTGCTGTCACACACACAAACACACTCTAGACAGCCACTGAGGCCACCGAGATAATACACCCCTCTCTCTCTCTCTCTCTCCGCCGCTGGTCTTACACCATTAAAGTGGGATTTTTGTATAAACTAGCCGAGAGTAAAAACTTAATCAGACATTTAATGCCTGTAAATCCCTGAAACGGAGATTGTTAGGTGTCTGGATAAAGGTGATAATGAACTAAAAAAAAAGGCAAGCCAGCAGAAAACTTTTTTAACTAATGTGCGTTTAACTTCATGGTGTGATCTGAGGTGGCTTTTAATGCACTCCTGCTCTGTGTGTTGTGTTTGACTGTAAATACAGAGCAGCTCGGCACAAGACAGACTGATGGGACATTTACCTGCAAAATAATCATAATAATAATAATAAACTTTATTAATGGAGCACTTTTCAAAACAAGTGCTTTCCAATAAAATACATTTAAAATTGAGATAAAATACAGAAAAATAGGAAGCACACAAACACAACAATAAGCTATAAAACCTAACTTAAAGCTTAAATAAAATCAGGACAAGCTCTCCGATAAAAATGTGTTTTAAGGAGTAACAATTCAATTCAATTCAATTCAATTTTATTTGTATAGCGCATATTTACAACAACAGTCATCTCATAGCGCTTCACAAAGGCAGAAACAGAAACACCCAACAATCCAAAACATCTGGATTCCCTATAAGCTTCAGCAGTCCGCAACAGTGGGAAGGAACCGAAAACCCCCGCAGGGGAAAAAAAAACCTCCGACAGAACCAGGCTCAGGGAGGGACGGCCATCTGCCTCCACCGGTTGGGTGGATGTAGGATGAATTATACAATGTAGTTTACAGTTAAAAAAAGTTATTAGAATTTAACAGACTCAGCCGACCTGATTTCCTCGGCAGCTCGTTCCAGAGCCTCGGACTGAAAATTGTTTTCAGTCGGGCCTCTGGTGGAGAACATGGAGTTAAAACGTCGGCAGTGTAAACAGGACGGAGACTGATGAGTGCTTTAAAGAGATTAATCAAATCTTAAAATCAATCCTGGCTGTAAAAGTTAAATAACAACGAATCTGAAATATTTCTAAGATGATAAAAACACGACTGTACAAGTTTTGTGGTGTGTTTTTGAAAAAGGTTCTGAGTAGTTTCACTCGTCATGATTCCTCTTGAGACTGTCCGGATCAGTAGAAATGCAGCACCGGTAAATTTGTCAGACGCCTAAAACGACCTGCGTTGGTGAGTGCAGAAGCTCGGAGTGGTGCGGCGTCGTGTTGTTCCAGCGAAACCTCTGGAGGAGCCGACCGGAGCGGATCGATGAGTCAACTAAGCATGTAGTGTTGACAAGGCAGGCCGCTGTTTGTTTACCTTCAGCAGCCGTCTTTATTTGCTCCATGACCACAAAAGCTCCAACAAAGAGATTTAACCCAAATAACAATCTCTGACCTTTCTCAGATAATTCACAAAACTCAAGTTCCACGTCTTGCTCATTGAAGAGCATCTGATCATTTTGCACGGCACCAGATGACCACGCAACGGGAAGACGCTCTTAAAGTCAAGCATGAAAGGTCAACCTGACGTCAGATATGGAGTCCTGCAGCGCCGCTCAGCCAGAGTCAGAGATATGTGAACATTCGACGCTGCTGACGTGAGACATGTGGCCTCCTTCTGCCTGATAAGCTCACCTGTGTTCCTATTAAACTGATCACCTTCAGCCTCTGTACCTTTCTGTCCTGCTGTAGAAGGCAGCTTGGATGTATTACACACACATAACACCATCATCATGATGTTTGGAACGAGGATCAATATGCAATTACATCTGATGCTGGTCAAATGCATTTTCTTTCAATAGAGAATAAAGGGTTTAGCTCAGTCTGAGCAACCTAGAATAGAAAATCCTATCAAATGTTGTGTAAAAGTATAAGATACTGTAGAAACTACACATTTACACAAACATATAAGACCTACGTATTGGAATTAGACGCCTGCATGAAGCTGATGTGAGGATGAAATGTTCTGTTTTCAGTCAACTTCTTGTCAAACAGGATGAACAAATTATTGACTAATAATCATTATCTCTGTGCATTTGTGTTGGATTTAACAAATACAAAGTCCATGTTTGGCCAGTAATTAGTGATTGAACAGTAATTATACAGCAAAATGTTCTCCAAAAGATGCTTCTACTAACTCCTGGTTCCATCAACCTGTTACCTACGTCTGTTTCTTTAATTCTTATCCTCTTTCCCTCCATAGATCTCTGATAACTCTCTGCCCCTGATGTTCTCCTCTTTCTTCTGACACTTTCTTCTCTCTTTCCGTTCAGATTTCTCGCCAACACATCGTTTGAGGGCCAGAGCGGTTTTATATCCAGAGACAGTCAAAGCCAGAATGTCATCCCCGAGGCCCATCACTACATCTGGTCCCTCCAGCTGGACCCCCTCGGCCAGCCAACCTGGACCCGCCTGGGACGCTGGCGCAAGGGGAGAGTCCTGATGGACCAGGGGGCCTGGCCGAGCCATCCTGGATCTGGAGGTGGAGGTGACTGGCGTCGACCCGCCCGGCTGCACATGAGAGTAGTGACCCTGGTGGAGCACCCGTTTGTTTTTACCCGTGAGGTGGACGGGGACGGGATGTGTCCGGCGGGCCAGCTCTGCCTGGACCCGCTCACCAATGAATCTTCGGTTTTGGAAGGACTTTTCCAGAACCTCGGAGGACCCAACGGATCTGTTCCCACAGATCTGAAGAAATGCTGCTATGGCTACTGCATCGACCTGCTGGAGAAGCTGGCGGAGGACATGGGCTTCACCTTTGACCTCTACATCGTTGGCGACGGGAAGTACGGAGGGTTCAAGAATGGTCGCTGGACAGGATTGGTGGGCGACCTGCTGAGTGGCGCCGCCCACCTGGCAGTGACATCTTTTAGCATTAATTCAGCCAGAAGCCAAGTCATTGATTTCACGTCACCCTTCTTCTCCACCAGCCTGGGGATTCTGGTCAGTACTGCTCCTCTCATACTGACTTCTCTTTTCCCTCATTACAGCTTTTTTTTTCTCTCCACTTCTTATTTCTGTTACTCTTTGGCCCATCTCTCTCTTTGCTGCGTGTTATTGACCTCATCTCAACATTCTCCGCTTGGTATGCCGGTGGCCGGTACCAACATGGCAGAGTTTTATTACTGCAGGTCCTACGTTATTGGATTCGAAGGCAGTTCCCAATGTGAGGCGATTACTATGGCTGTTGTCACCAGTCGACAGGCGTAGTGATGGTGGTAATCGCTCTCTCCTCGCCATAACATGCTACTACAGAGGGTTCTGTTCTGCTTTGTTTCTACTGAATGTGTTTTCTATTATCTTTGTTGTTTTCGACAGCATAAGTGGAACAAATGGCAGCTATTCGGTAGATTTGCATTCGATGACAGTACACGGTTGGATTGGTGGGAAAAAAATGTCAAATTAAGAAAGAAGGGGTTTATGAATGAAGATGCAACCTCCCTGTGTGAACAGTTTTTATTAGTTAGCATCTTTACAGTCATGAACAGAAGTCTACAGACCTGTAAAGACCATATATATGAGGGAAGTCTTGAGTTTCCAATGATGGAATCACTGAAACACCATCTTTGTCCCAAAAACATACAGATTGGTTCTTTAATTGATTTATTATAGGTCATCTGGAGAATTGACAAAATGTTTTGGGTCAGAAATACACTTACAGCAACTTGAATTACCGGTTTTGGTGACGTAGAAAGCTTTTTGATCAAACTGTCTGTGGCCACAATGACCAGAAATATGTTTGGAGGAGCGACAAAACGTATCGTCAAGCATGGCGGTGGCAGCGTTATGCTCTGGGGCTGTTGTGGAACTGGTGCTTCACACAAAGTCAGTGGAATATTGAAGAAGTAGGATCATCTCCACATTTTTCAGGAAAACCTAAACTCATCAGCTAGAAAGTTGAGAGGTTGGACATTCAGTGACCCCAAAACACACATCAGAAGTGGTAGAATGAAGGTTTTAGGCTGACCAAAGTCCCGACTTAAACCTCTTCAACAGCCTGTGGACTTTTGCTGAAGAAACAAGTCTGTATCAGAAAGCCAACCAAAAGTAGTTGAACTGCCTCAATGCTGCCAAGAGAAGTGTTCAAAGGTACAACGAAAAAATGACCAGAGGTTTGTGGACGGCTACCAAAAGGGCTCAATGGAGACGAAGACGGCCAAAGGATATTAAACCAGACATTAGTATCGCCTTGTGTGTATTTCTGACGCAGCAGATTTTGTCATATTTCCAAAATACCTCCAATAAATCTAAAAGAAACCACAAAATGCATGATTGGTTTCTGTGAGACGGATCGTATGATTTCAGCGAGTTATAGGAGTCACTGAAAACTCAGGACTGGGGTGATATACAAGTGTGTGTAAACTTCTGTTCATGACTGTATCTGCTGTGAAGGGTGATGGAGGATTGAAAGGCTCTTTCCATTTATCCAGGTCCCAGTTTATTTCTTCCAAAACCATCCTACCTCTGTGAAACACTAAGAACTGTGATAACATCTGATGATGACACCAGTTGTTCTAATCCTGTTTCTGTGCAGGTCCGCACTCGCGACACAGCTGCACCCATCGGCGCCTTCATGTGGCCTCTGCACTGGTCCATGTGGCTCGGCATCTTCGTCTCCCTCCACGTCACCGCCGTCTTCCTCACCCTGTACGAGTGGCACAGCCCGTTCGGCATGACGCCACGAGGACGCAACCGCGACCGGGTGTTCTCCTTCTCCTCGGCGCTCAACGTGTGCTATGCCATTCTTTTCGGGCGAACAGTAGCCATCAAGCCCCCAAAGTGCTGGACCGGTCGTCTGCTCATGAACCTCTGGGCCATCTTCTGTCTGTTCTGTCTGTCCACCTACACCGCTAACCTGGCTGCCGTCATGGTCGGGGAGAAGACGTATGAACAGCTGTCAGGGATACACGATCCAAAGGTACAGGAGACAGAAACACTTCTAAAGTTGAAGTTCAGTCTGAAAACTTCTTATTTTGTCATAAACAATCAGTGTGGTGGAGAAATAGGTTTTCAGGGGCTTTTATTCCATCTGATGTTTTTCTAGTTATTCGTTGCAGATTAAAATAACAACGTTCAGGCTCTCAGGTCTGAGATGTGATTTTAAAATGAAATCATTTATTTGTTTGTTCGTGTATTTTTCTATAATGCTGTTTCATTGTCTCTGAATTTTTTTACTCAGCAAATATAACCTTTAATTACACCACCTTTGTAAGGGTAATTGGAGTAAGGTAATTACCTCTTTTTGCCAACTCACCAATTCATCCAATCACGAGCGTGCAGCAAAACTGCGAGTCATTATGTTCAAGAAACAGAAAGAAAAGAAACAAACGAGCACAAAGAGAACCGAAGAAAATGAGCAGCAATGAGCTGATATGAAGAGCATCAATATTCATGCTTCTGAAGGCATTGTGAAGGTAAAATCTTGGTTTATTTCTTCTTTCCTGCAGTTGCACCATCCCTCTCAGGGATTCCGATTTGCTACAGTGAGAGAAAGTAGTGCAGAGGACTATGTCAAGAAGAGTTTCCCTGAGATGCACGAGTACATGAGGAGATACAATGTCCCGGCAACACCAGATGGCATACATAATCTCAAGTAAGACAGTAAGACAGACTCTGCACATGCTGCATGCAGGTTCACAGCAGTGCTCAGGTATGCACACAGCCACTCCTGTACGCACAGCGGTCCTTATTGATCCAGATTCCTGCTGTCATTTCTCCTAATATCCACCCAGCTAGCTATCGTTTGCTGTCAGCATTCCTGAAAATCTATTTGTTTTTTGGTTACACGAAGGGAAAAATAAGAAACAGTACCATCCTTGATATATTTTTAAAAAAAGGAATGCGGGTGCGTGCCCAAGGAAAGTCCAAATTTGGAGAAAAAATAAAAAAAGGGAGAAAAAATTGCCTCCCTGCTGCTGTCATTCCCCACCACAAGCTCGCCTGTTCACATTCAGATCTCACCCTCCTCTTTACCCTGCCATTGCTGTCATCCTAAGCCGCTTCAACATTCAGCTGGCATCCCCGTGGAGCATAGCAGAATATAGTGAGAAAAGGCAGCTGGAATGCAAGCCTATGCTGGGTAGGACACCATTTCAATGGATGAAACAAGATTTTTTTTAATTTATTTTTTTACTGAGCTTGTGAAATGCTGATTAGAAGGTTGAAGGAAAAATGTCATCTTTAGAAAATTACAACTTGGCGACAAGACAGTATACAAGGGTACTGCAACATAACCCTCTGCGTTCCGGTTTAGTCCACCAGGGACCCGGCAAATATCAGTTACATAACCTTGAAGCATATTGTGTGTTCGCTGGACACTTGTATAGTTGTAGCATAGTAGCAGTGACACTACGGTGTACTGCAGTGATGGGACAGCACCGTGCACATATTAAACCTAACATCCATAAGAGGTTCAAACATGCTTTGCAAGGGTTGGTTGTTGAAGGTGCTGTTTAGATGAAGGTTGTTGCACAGTCTGAGGAAAGCAAAGGCAAAGTTTATTCAGTCTCATTGACATCAAGATGTTCTTGTGCAGTAGAGACCTGCAAACAATAAGGGGGAATCAAGACAACAATGTGCAAACAGCATCAGATCTTCATTCAGTGTAAAAATAATGAGCTTAATATTGGAGAGAAAACTAAAACATGATTTACTGGTGATAGAAAAGACAAATGTTTCTGTTTAGTTTCCGTCACGGTTGCTCCAAATGAAGATAAGTAGGTCCAACTGCTGTCTAGACAAAATCCCAGGTATTTATAGCAGTAGTCCATATCCGTTTGAGCATCAATAAGAGTATGCAAACCTTATGGAGTATGGAGAATAAAAATGTTTTGTCTTGTCAGCATCCACTGCAAACTTGAGATTTTTGCCAAGATGTCTGAAGAATGTCAGAGGCAGGGTGGAGTCATGAGGAATCAAATGCATACAAGACTGTGTCATCTGCATAGAAATGGATAAGCTATATATTCATACATAATACATCGCTGGCTGTATATACTGGCTGATATGTGGGACAGTGACGGAGGTATTGTTACTCTTAATTGCTTTTCCAAATCATGTTATTGTCCCATCCATCCATTATCTAAACTCCGCTTTATTCTGGAGCCCATTCCAGCTGACTCAGGGTGAAGCCTGGACAGGTCGCCAGTCTATCACAGGGACAACACAGAACCTTGCATGCTCACATTCACAGCCACTGCACATTTAGAGCCACTAATTAACCTCAGCATGTCTTTGGACTGTTGGAGGAAGCTGGTGAGAACCCGTGTAGGCACAGGGAGGACATGCTAACTCCATGTTTTTGTAGATAAATGACAATGTTAGTGCTCAATATCTGCGCTCGCACCACAAATGTCGGTGCAGGAGACAATACGAGAGTTTATCAATCAGCTGTTGAACAAGCAGAACATAATAAACCAGACCTGAGGCGTCGCATTTCTGCAAGTTTGTTTTCTGCCTGTTGGACGGGTGATTGATGAATTGCTTCTGGTTAACAAGCATTGTCGTAAAACATGACCTCTAATCTGTTTGGTTGGCTCCTCTGTGTGTGAGGCTACACTGCTGCTGCTGCTGCTGCTGCTGCTGCTGCTGATGATGATGATGATGATGATGATGATCTTGTGTGTGAGCAGCTCGGCTAAACTGAACATAGAGACGACAGAGAGGCAAAAAACTGACACTCACAAGCAGGTTTGAAGTGATATTATGAGTCCACAATGTGCTCTGTGTGATTTTACTTCATATTAACTTGTTTTACTGCCGGTCCATGGCGGACCACCTTGTGACCTCCAGGTTAACAACAGATTTATGTAGAATGTAAACAGAACAGGACCCAGTACGGACCCTTGTGGTACCCTCTTATCTACCCAATGTCTTGAGACCTTTCTGTGCGTCCTGATCGCTGTTATGGCTTGTGGAGATTTATTGTAATTTAGAGGTCTATTTGCAGTTGTCTTGGGTCCCATTCTTGCAGAATATTCACTGATTGCAGTAAGTGTTTCTATCAGGCCTGTTTTTACCACAATATTCCAGCTTAATGAACACGTCCCACCAGAGCAATTGAGTCTAACAACAACTTGTGACTGCAGCCTGTCTGCTACATAATTAGAGCATTTGGAGAAAGTTCACAGACTGGAGACCCATTATCATCCATCAGACGACTGTCTTGTACTATTTAGGCTTGCTTATTAAAGCGACAGATTTGTTCGGAAATGCTGCTCGTAACAGACAAACCAATTTGTTACGGAGGGTTTTTAATCTAACTCCACGATTTGAGGACTTTCTTCTGATCAGTGTGTGGAGGCCGATGGCGTCGCTGCCCTTCACGTTAAACAAAGCCACAGCACATGCATTTCCTGTCACTGGTGTTTCCCATTCATGCCATGTGGCTGCAGACACACGAGTTGTTTTAGATGCATTATTTACGGAGGATGACTCAGAGACGGGTGAATCATGTTTTAGTCATATTGGTTACTCAGTGGGTTGATGTGGAGATAGCGCTCTGGTCGCAGAACACACGCTTTGGTGGAAGGAGCAACGACGTAAGCTGCAAACTAATTCAACCTGTAATAATGAGCAGCTCGCTTGTGGGGAGAAGATAGTGCAGGATTTCAAACACCGTCCTTGATAAGCAAAAACACTGAGTATGTGGAGAAAGGCTTTGTAGCGTCCCAGTAGGCAGCAGCTGTCAGTAAAGACATTTTAGAGTTGATTTGTAAAAGCCTCAGTGAAAGCGTTGCGACTTAATATCTCACCTCTGGATAACGGACTCGGGAGGAATACAAATAAATTGGCAAAAAACGCAGAAACGGTGGAGCGGCAGTAATGTTCCTGGCAGGTGGCCTGTGAGAGTGTACGCACCAGGCCAGACGGCGAGATGTGAAGTTCAGACAAGGTGGAAAGGTCGGGAGATGTTTGTTTGAATCATTTACATTCCATTTTTTAGTAGTTTGGTGCCTTTTGATCGGTTCTGCAAAACGCCTACAAGCACAAAGACAAACCGTTCATTCATGCAGGACTTTCGTGGTTCACTCTTTGCTTTCAGACTCATTTTTTTCACATCTTGCTGCTGTGTCCTGGTTTTATTTCTACAGCATGTGTTGGTGCTTTATCATGAAGCACAAAACAAACAATGTTTTTATCTATTCAGCTTCACGCTACCTGTACAATTAAGTGCAAAGAAGTTTTCTCCAAGACAGACATGAAACTTTTCTCCTCCTTTGTGCTCACTCTGAGGTCAGAGGAGCGACACGAGGACAGAAGCAGAGAAAATAAACCTCAGAGCAGCGAACCAGCAGTGAGGTGACAGAAGAAGGTCCGGTTCATTTAATTTACAGTCTCGTGGGGTGGTGGAGGGTTTTTGTTTCCGTCAAATTCAGAAGGTTGCCGGAAAAAAGTGAAAAAGCAGTTTAGTTGTTGGTCACCACAGAGACTTTCTAACGGTGACGATGACTGAGGATCCGTCCTGATGGTCTGTGAAGTCTCACAGTCTGGTTGTGTTTTGTAGAATTATGCATTCACTGTTTATCTGTTTCTGTCTCGCCTGGGGAGTGATTGAGAAATGTTTAATTAATGCGGCGTGCTGTGCGAGACGACTGTCATGAAGAACTCTGAGCTGCTGCACGAGTTCTCAGTCGAGCATCATCGTTGCTCTGAAGCTGAACGGGCGACTAAACGGTAGAACGTGTTGTTTTTGTTCCTGGACCAACAAGCAAAGAGTGACTTCTTGCTCCACCTGCACTTCTAATGAACCCTCTTGCGGTTCTCTTTTCAGGGCCGACCCTCAGAAGCTGGATGCGTTCATCATGGACAAAGCTCTGCTGGACTACGAGGTCTCCATAGACGCAGACTGTAAAACGCTAACAGTGGGGAAACCATTTGCAATCGAAGGTAACACTCCAGATCTCACCGTATGACAAATGACTCGCCTGCTTAGGACACAAAATAATCCTGAGTACATATTAAAGGCTTCTCCGGCTATCGGATGTATTGACCAATCATTTAGCGTATTGATTCGGAGCCTTTTAGGTTGAATTCATCACTGCTCCGGCGTCCCATTAGCATGTTTTGGTTTTTAACGATGACGTGATTGAAAAAGGTTTTTCTGCATGACCGACCGACCGTGAGCGTTTTTTAGCAGAGCCCTAAATTTAACAATATCAATCGCTCAATATTTGCTCTGTGGTTAATCTTTTGGCTTTCAAAAGCTTACATTGTCGGCTGTCTGCAGCTAATCTCTGGTCCATTTAGCAAGCCTCTTCCTCCCACTGTGAAAACGCTCCCATGGCGGTTGCTTCCATTACAGGCCACCGTAGCGCCACATTCCAGCGCTGTTGTTAATTACTTAATGCACCCTTAAGCCTTCAGGATACAATACAAATCAATCAGCGCGCCAGCTACTTTTTCTAATTGGCTATTGCTGAATTCGTCACACTTTCCTGGCGCTGGGAGATATACTGTCGGGCACCTGCTTTGTTTGGGGGGAAAAATATGATGTTTTTCTAAAAAGGAAATTGTCAAGAAGTCCGTGTTTCTGTTCGGCAACTCTCTCCCCACCGATACGAACCGGGAGGAACGTAACGGCAGCATGAAGGTGAAGTGAAAAAGTGGAAATGCTTTTTGCTGTTACGACAGAAGAATAATCACTAAGCAGTTCTCTGTGTGTGTGTGTGTGTGTGTGTGTGTGTGTGTGTGTGTGTGTGGACTGGCAGGATATGGCATTGGCCTCCCTCAGAACTCGCCGCTCACCTCCAACATCTCAGAGCTTGTTAGTCAGTACAAGTCAGATGGCTTCATGGACATGCTGCATGACAAATGGTACAAGGTTGTGCCCTGCGGGAAGCGCAGCTTCGCTGTGACCGAGGTAAGACCGGAGCAGAGGCAACGCTTTGGGTTGTTGTGTTGTTCATAAACGAGAGCATTTACAGTTTATTTTACTGCTAAACAATAAGATGAAGCTTCTCTCTGGTGGTTTAACATGCATTGTAAGTGCAAATCAAGTGTTTTCTGTTTACTAACGCCGAGGATTTGGCTTTTTGTTTTTTGTTCCACCCTTTCTGAAGCTGGTTCCTCTCAGACTGGTTCCTTTGCCCTCTGCAGCCTCCATGTTCAGTAATTGCTCCTCTCTAATTCAAACCTCGGCCTCCGACCCTCCGGTTGCTAAACAAGCTGTTTTCCCGCAACTTTAGTTCTGAAGAAAATTACATCCTGTCCAGTGAAATGATGAGAACGGAGCAGAAAGCCAAAGTTATGGTGGAATAACAGGAGCTGAGTGTCGACAGGATACAGATGAAGCTTTAGTGTCTGTATGAACCAAACAAACTAAAACCATGTGCATATACAACATGTTTTAGTACATATCTATTGTACTGTGAGGCTTGTGTAACAGTAATAATTAAACATACATTTGTGAAGTGTAATCTTTGTTTTGACTAATTACGTGAGTGTTTGAAGCACCTGCAGGACCAGGATTTGTTCTTTGTTCCTCCATTTTTGAGGCCCTACACCCAGACTGGTTCCTCTGCCCTCTGCAGCCTCCATGTTCACTAATTGCTCTCCTCTAATTCAAACCTCGACCTCCGACCCTGCAGCTGCTAAACAAGCTGCGTCCCTATAACTTCAGCTCTAACCAGCCCCGTGGCCCACTTTGTTCTGCCATTACCAGGCAATTAGCTCTCTTAGCAGCCTCTTCACCCAACTGTGTCTTTGAAACTTGGAGCTCAGCGCAGACTTCTCGCTTTCTTCTCGGTTTATTTTTGTATTTTGCTCTTTTTATCTTTGATTTTCTTAGCCGCTGCCGCTCATAATGACGTCTAATTAATAAGCCCCCATGCTGCGCGCCTTTTGAATGACAGCATCACCTCAATGCCTCATCACAAATGCAAATTACACATCTATATGAGTCACATCGGGGGCAGAAGTGGCACATCGCAGTGCTACAAATTCGGCGGCGAAACCGTTTTCCAGCAGCTCGACGTGCTATCGATGCTATCTCCAGCTGCAGACGTTTAAATTGCTTCAGGCACATTTCATCTCGCGCCTCGGTCGGCCTGAAGTTTGTGACAGAGAAGCTGCTCGGCCGTTATTTTGTTCTAACTGTGTGTCGGGGGGGTTTTTACCTACAGCTACATCATCCCGGCGCCTCGCAGGAAACACAGCGTGACGGTAATGCGACGCTGTAAGACACGTCGTCGACCTGAACCGATGCTTAAACATCTTGTTTTTCACTTTGCATAGACTTTTACTCACAATGCGCTGCTGCTAAAACGAACAGCGAACAACATCAGCAGGAAATTCATGTGATATAAGCAATCTGAGTTACTGACACAAGGCTGGCCCAGTTTAGTCCTGCTCAGCATCTTTTTTATTTTATTTTTTTTCTTCAGCAATCTTTTATTCCGATGAATGACTGCCTCGCCACCAGCTGCAGGCCCGGGGATTCTGAAAAGATGAAAAATCTGATGGATTGGCTTTAGTGAGGCGGCCAAACGCTCCTGCATTCAGCCAGCTCGCTGTCACCCCCCCAACGAAGCCGGTCCCGTTCGAAGTAATAAAATCAATACCAATAAATGAGATATTATTCAATTAAGCAACATTAAGAGGGGCAAACTTCACCTCACTCAGAAATAAATTGTGATAAAGGAGATGAAGATGATGAGAGTGATGGGCTTTATTGAAGGCGTTCATGGATTTTTGTGCTGCAAATTTATCTCATCA